TTTTTTTTTTTTTTTTAAAGATTTTATTTATTTACTTGAGAGAGAGAGAGAGAGAGAGAGAGAGAGAGCAGGGTCAGAGGGAGAAGCAGACTCCCCGCTGAGCAGGGAGTCCGATGTGGGACTCGATCCCGGGACTCCAGGATCATGACCTGAGCCGAAGGCAGTCGCTTAACCAACTGAGCCACCCAGGCGCCCGATAGAAGTACAATCTTTGGAATAATTTTCAGAATTTACTAAGTTTCCTCATTAAAATCATATACCAAAAAATAATGATATTTATTTCCTTCCTTGCACCTTTGATTAAATCAGATAAAGGTTAATTTTTAGTGATTTAATTTTGAATAAAATTTTAAAAGGATATTTGTACATTCTACATTGTTCAGAGGACATTTACCTAATTTTACATGGGGCATTCGCCAGAAATACTGTTGTGCTTTTGTCAGTGTTATACTGACAAAAGTATAGTATTTTCTATACTCCTATCATGTTTAATATATATTTTCCTTTAGTATAATCAATGCAAAATATATTCTAGAGGGCGCCTGGGTGGCTCAGTTGGTTAAACGACTGCCTTCAGCTCAGGTCATGATCCTGGAGTCCCGGGATCGAGTCCCACATCGGGCTTCCTGCTCAGCAGGGAGTCTGCTTCTCCCTTTGACCCTCTTCCCTCTCGTGCTTTCTATCTCTCATTCTCTCTCAAATAAATAAATAAAATCTTTAAAAAATATATACATATTCTAGAAAGGCAGAAGCCATATCTGTTTCAATTCACAATGCAAAATATTTAGCAAAGTAGTAAACTCAAATCAAATGGATATTCTGATGACTGTGATGGTCAGAATATCTATAAGCCTTTACCTGAAAATGTTGAAATAACCTCAAATGTTGTTTCTAAAGCAGAAGCAACAGGTGTTACTTTATCTGCAGCAAGTATATACAGCTCTCCAGATTTGGAACATTTCACGACAGCATACCTAAAATAAAATTTTAAAAGAAAACTACTAATAATGAAAAAAGAAAAGCCACAGATAGTATTTTAAATGTTTTACATCATTTTAGGAAAACAAACTTCAAGATCAAAAAAGCACTACTTTCAAAGAACTTCATCTGTTACATTTGTTTCATTTTTCTTTTAAGATTTTTCTTTGAGAGAGAGTGAGCAAAAGAGCACAAGCCTGGGTGGTACAGGGGTGGAGAGGCAGAGAGAGAAACAGACTCCCCACCGAGCAGGGAGGGAGTCTGATACGGGGCTTGATCCCAGGACCCTGGGATCACAACCCAAACCGAAGGCAGATGCTTAACCAACTGAGCCACCCAGGCACCCCACATTTGTTTCGTTTTTCAAAAAAGCTGGAAATGAGGTCTGAATGGAATCATATAAAGCTTAATAAAATCTATATGAACATCACAACTGTTATAATTCACTAAATTTTAAGAGAACAATGGGATGAAATAAATCCAAAATAATGCTAATGATGGAATCAATCCTATTTGTGGATAAAACAAAAAATACAGTAATATACTTACTTTGCATCTGGCATATAACAAACAGCTTGATTGGCTGGAATTGTCCAAGGCTGGGTGGTCCAGATTAAAAAACTAACAGGAGATGAGCCATCTGTGAAAATAAAATTTCAAATATGCTAGCAAATGTCACAATTCCGTAACTTTGATAAACTCAAGCAATGAATAAATCTTACCTAGGAGAGATACCAACTTGGGAGAAGGCTTCAGGAGAGGGAATTTTACATATATTGAGCGACTGACATGCTCAGGATTATACTCAAGTTCTGCTTCAGCCAATGCAGTTCTAAGGTTTAAGAATATTAGACATAAATATTTGAGGGACTCACAAAATTCTCCACTTTAAATACCAAAAACACATACATACCTCGATGAGGGAGACCAAAACACAGGTTTGTAAGATCGATAAACCAAGCCCTATAAAAGACAAATATATTATATGAAAGCTGGAATTTTAGAACACATAATTTAACATACCAAAGGAAAAAAACACTTCATTACCTTCTCATACATTTGGTAGAAAATTCTCAACTGTTTGGCCTCATATTTTCCATCAAATGTATAGTAGCAATTATTCCAATCTGCCATTATTCCCCAACGAATAAACGCTGATCTCTGTTTCTTAATTGCTGCTTCAGCAAATGATCTAGCTAAAAAAAAAATTTGAGAGAAAAGCATTTGAAAACCAATAAATTCTTAAACATGGTTTAGTATGTCTCTAAATAGAGGTATTGTACACAGTGTATATACTGTAAAATGTATTTAACAGGAAAATTATTTTGAAAGTTTTAAGTGTTCAGAAGATAACTAAAATTCTAAAATTAATCAGAATTTCAAAAATATTTTCCAGACTTTAGACAATGACCTTACGTTTAAAAAAAAATAAACTGGAGAAATTATTTTTCATATCTCTTAATTTGAGAAAAGAGAATGATTCTTATTTCATTATACACAGAAAAAGTAATCAGTACATCTAGTTTAAGCCAATAATAAGATGTCCTACGGTGAAATAAAAAAATCTTTACAATCATATCTAAATATACAATAGTTTTAGAATACAAAATTCCTCCCTGACCCAATCTACTGAAGAATCAAATGAGATTAATTTAAAAAAATATAGGGGTGCCTGGGTGGCTCAGTCATAAAGCATATGCCTTCGGCTCGCCCAGGGTCCTGGGATCGAGCCCCGCGTTGGGTTCCCTGCTCGGCAGGAAGCCTGCTTCTCTCTCTCCCACTCCCCCTGCTTGTGTTCCCTCTCTCGCTGTGTCTCTCTCTGTCAAATAAATAAATAAAATCTTTAAAAAAAATTTTTTTTTAAATATATATATGGATTTTAGAATTGACTTTTAGTATAGCACTCGAAATAGGTCAACAAGCTCCAGCCAGGAAAGTAAATAAAAACACTGAGCACAATAATAATTTCACAAAATATGAAGATCAAGGAACTGAAAAATGGACTTGGAAATGCTCACAAAATCTTTCCTTTAGTCTCTGAACATAAGTTCTCACAAAAGTCAATTAAACGAGATCTGAATTTCCTGTGACAAAAATTGGTTTCTAACAGATCCCATTATAGCCAAAAAAACAACAGAAAGTCTCTTCAATTAAGCTCTGGCTTTTCCAAGGAACCAGCCTTTAAGAATAACCATTTCAAAACAGAAACAGAGATTATTTACCTTTCTCTCTAATTTCCACAGCTGAAAGATTCTGAGCTTTTCCACCAAGTTCTGATAATACTTTTATTTCAATGGGTAACCCATGACAATCCCAGCCTGGCACAAAATGTATTTTGGAACCTCTCATCATATGGTATCGATTGGCGATATCCTTCAAAATCTGCGAAGATGATAATCATCACTCATATATACAGCATGTGACCCTGTTTTATTCCTTTTTAAAATTTTAATTTAAATTCAATTTAGTTAACATATAGTGTGTTATTAGTTTCAAGGGCAGAATTCAGTGATTCATCAGTTGCATATAAAATACCCAGTGTTCATTACATCACAGGCCCTCCTTATTACCCATCACTCCAGCCCCCCACCCACCTCCCCTAGAGCAACCCTCAGTTTGTTTCTTATAATTAAGAGTCTCTTATGGTTTGCCCTAATTATAAATTTTTTTTTAAGATTTTATTTATTTATTTGACAGAGAGAGACACAGTGAGAGAGGGAACACAGCAGGGGGAGTGGGAGAGGGAGAAGCAAGCTTCCTGCAGAGCAGGGAGCCCGATGCGGGGCTCAATTCCAGGACCCTGGGATCATGACCTGAGCCGAAGGCAGACACTTAACAACTGAGCCACCCAGGCGCCCCTGCCCTAGTTATAACTCTTTATATCATTGTAAAACACTGAGAAAGCCCAATTTTAAAAGGACTTCTATAAACAAAATAACCTATTAAATCTACTAACTAAAGTTCTACATAAACACAAAAGTAACACATATTTGAAGTTTTAAAATACCATTAACTCCAGAAAACAAATAAAGATTTCAAAGTGAAAAACATGCTAGAATTAATAATTTGTAAAGTTGGAATATGTAGAAAAGCAGCCTATACTGCCTATTTAAGAAACAATTTTGACTTTCTAGGGTGCCTGGGTGGCTCAGTCGTTAAGCGTCTGCCTTGGGCTCAGGTCATGATCCCAGGGTCCTGGGATCGAGTCCCACATCTGGCTCCCTGCTCAGTGGGGAGCCTGCTTCTCCCTCTCCCACTCCCCCTGCTTGTATTCCTGTTCTCACTATCTCTGTCTCTGTCAAATAAATAAACAAAATCTTTAAAAAAAAGAAAAATTTGACCTTCTAAAAACCAGAGAGTAAAAATAAGTCAGTTATAAATTTGCTTTACTCTTATTAAAAACATTATCAACATGAATAACCCAATATTATTTATATTCAGCTAAGAAATAGTATATAATCAATGCTGAATTTATACTTAGAGTATGGAATATCGCAGTTAACTCTATCATTGACGAAACTCTTACTAAAACACTAGACCTCTTCACTAGGTATAGTTCTATAACTGATTTCCCTTCTTAGTTCATTTTAGAGACTAAAGGGCAGCAGAGCCTTTTAAAAATATATTACCATTATAAAATGGAAGATCAAAGGCAAAGGATAGATTTGGCTCCAAGCTCAATTTCCCTCTTCACAAAAGGAAACAATGCAGTAGTCCAGAAAATTATTTCCTCCTTTCCACATCTATCAAAAGTAGAAAAGATATACATTCCTCCCACACCTTCCCCCACTTAAAACTCTAACTTTCGATCTTACCAAACAGCAGGAGGAAGCCCTGTGGCCTGGGTGGTAGGCAAAGGACATAAAAATACATCTAATTATATATACCTAAGATTTGTACACTTTCAGTGGGTATATTATTTAAATCAATCAATATATAAATAACCTTAATCTCACTCTTATTTGAAATTATTCTGTCTGCTTATTATCTGTCCCGTCCCAGTAAAATACAAACTCCTTGAAATACCATCTGTCTTCTTCAGCAGTAAACTCTCTGCATTTAGAATGGTATCTGGCACTACTTTATAAATAGCTGTCCAAGAAATGAATTCATATACATATGCTCTAGACTATAACATCTTATATAGTAGCCACCAGCCACCAGTTGGCTACTGACAGTTGTTCATGATAACGCTCTGTCCTCATTTCTCCTTTTGTTTCTTTCATTTTCCTATCACAATACTCATGTATTCCTTTGTTTAACAGACAAATTTTTGAATGGCTACTATATGTCAAGAATTGTTCTAAGGGGGCGCCTGGGTGGCTCAGTTGGTTAAGCATCTGCCTTCGGCTCAGGTCATGATCCCAGGGTCCTGGGATCGAGCCCCACATCGGGCTCCCTGCTCAGCGGGGAGCCTGCTTCTCCCTCTCCCACTCCCCCTGCTTGTGTTCCTGCTCTCGCTGCGTCTCTCTGTCAAATAAATAAATAAAATCTTAAAAAAAAAAAAAAAAAAGAATTGTTCTAAGAGGGGCACCTGGGTGGCTCAGTCGTTAAGCGTCTGCCTTCGGCTCAGGTCATGATCCCAGGGTCCTGGGATCGAGCCCCGCATCGGGCTCCGTGCTCGGCGGGAAGCCTGTTTCTCCCTCTCCCACTCCCCCTGCTTGTGTTCCCTCTCTCGCTGTGTCTCTCTCTGTCAAATAAATAAATAAATAAATAAATAAATGAATAAATAAAAGAATTGTTCTAAGAACCTAGAGCATGGCAGTAAACGAGAGACAAGGTCCTTCTGATGAAGAAAGACAGAAAATAAATATATTCATTCACTATGAAGAAAATAAGCAAGGTTAAAGGTTTGAAAACAGCATGTGAGCTGGTGGTGGTGGCGGTGCTGTTTTGGGAAGATCAGTAAAGCCTCATGAGATGTCTGAACAGAGACATGAAGGAAATGAGAAAGTGAGCCATTTAAGTATCTGGGAAACACATTCCAGATAGAAGCAAGCAAGCAAGACTACCCATGGTATGCCTGAGGAAAAGCAAGAACTGTTCCTCCTCTAGTTCCAAAGGGCCCAAAGTCTTTGACAGAACCTCCAACTATGCATGTAAGAGGTGGATTTGTACGGTGCCTCGGTTTTTGAGAGAATAACTCCTTCTCTCCCCTCAATCCATGTGGAGCTCACTCCCCTCCATTCCAGCTCCAAGGGTGGACACATAATCCACTGTGGCCTTCAACATATTCCATCCCCAAATCCAAAATGATTGATTCAGGGACAGACTTGTGACTCAAATCAGGGCAAGGAGAGTCAATTCCAGGACACTTGTAAGAATTGCTTGGAAAGAGAAAGTGGAAAAATATTAGCCTGTAAATGGGAGATGTGTGGGGTGGGAATGGGGGTATGGGGAGCATCAAAAGGGTAAACCATGCTTAAGAGTGAAAGATGTAGAGAAACCAACTCTAATAGTATCTGAGTCCCTGGGTCCAGCCATGAAAGGACCTGAAACTATCTCTGGACTCTACAGTTAAAACAGCCAATAAATTCCCATTTTTGCTTAATCTTGTCAAGAGTTGCCTTTCTGTATCTAGCAACCAAAAGAATCTGCAACAATAGAGTTGTATTTTGTAAAATATGTTGTGTTAACATATCTTAATGCGTATATTAAAAATAAGAAACTAGACCTTCTGAAATTAAAGTGTCTTAATTCTTTGAACACATGAAGCAGAAAGTTCCAAAAGACAAATGGGTAAGTCAGACTTAAATAATTTAAAACAGAGAAAACAACCTAAAAGGAATAACTTTAAAGCAACGATAATACCTCTTGAAGCTTCTGTGTGATAAATAACAAGAATGTATTAAAAGAGACAAGACTAGTCCAGACACCTATTTTGTTTTATTGATCAGAACAGATAACACTGCACTATATTTCTATCTGGTAGAGCGATGTGTTCCTTGATCTTTCTTTAAATTTTGACTATTCAAACACATTTACTTTCCAGATTTACTTTTTAGCCATTAAGTATGTTAAAAAATTTTTTTAAACATTTTCTTTGTTGTTTGTGATTATAAGAGAAATACAAAATTTTCCAAAAAAAAAAAAAGTAATATAGGTTCCTTGTTCTAAAAAAAAAAATACAAATGTTATAGAAATACCAAATATTAGGTTTGAAAACTTTTTTGCAAAATTAGATCCTAATGTAACACTGTTTTAAAACTTGTTTTTCGGGGCATCTGGGTGGCTCAGTCGTTAAGCGTTTGCCTTCAGCTCAGGTCATGATCCCAGGCTCCTGGGATGGAGCCCCGCATCAGGCTCTCTGCTCAGCAGGAAGCCTGCTTCTCCCTCTCCCACTCCTCCTGCGTGTGTTCCCTCTCTCGCTGTGTCTCTGTCAAATAAATATATAAAAAATCTTTAAAAAAATAAAACTTGGTTTTCCTCCTTCAGTTAATAATATTTGGACATCTTTCATGTCAGTACAGATATATCTGCCTAATTCCTTTTAAGATTGCATACTACTTCATTCCCAAGATTTATTTAATCAAATCCCATTAAGGAAAGTGTTGACAAAGAAAAAAAGTCAATCCAAAATCCTAGATGCAGCAAAAATATACTTGAAGGACAAAAGGAAAATCAAGAACACAGTGACTAAACTGACGAATTCAGTGGAGAGCTTCAGCAGCCCACGCAATCCATCAGAGGAAAGAATCAGTGCAATAAAGACAGATCATTTGAAATTATCCAGTTAAAGGTATAAAAGATACAAGAATGAAAAGGAATAAAGAAAGCCTTCAGAACCAATTTGAAACCACTTAAAAAAAAAAATCTATGCTTTACAAGAATCCCAGAATGAAAAGAGAGGGAAAAAGAATCAGAAAGTTTATTTAAAGAAACTGTAGCTGAGAACCTCCTAAAACTGGGGAGATATTTGGATATCCAAGTTCACTAAGCTCATACATTCCCAACAAATGCAACCCAGAGATCTTCTAAAAGACACACTTTAATAAAACCGTCAAAAATCAAAGACAAAGTAAGAACCTTGAAAGCTGCAAGAGAAAAAAGCTTGTCAATTACAAGACTTCCCTTCCCCCATAGGCTATCAAATTTCTCTGCAGAACCCTTGCAGGCCAGGACAGAGTAGAATGACACATTCAAAATGCTGCAAATAAACTTCCAACCAAGAATACTTCACCTGGCAAAGCTGTCCTTGAGAAATGAAAGAGAAATAAAGACTTTCCTAGACAAACAAATGCTGAGGGAGTTCATCACCACTAGACCTACCATACAAGAAATTCTGAAAGGAGCTCTTTAAGATGAAATGAAGGGATGCTATTTACTACCAGGAAAACACATAAAAATACTTCAGGTTAAGTATACAGTCAAATTGAAAATAC